ATAGCACGACAGAGGCTAAACTTTAGTATATATAGCATTTATTGAAAAACTCAACATTTTCGTAGGGGTTAACCCACATATTTCAAGAAAAAATAGAAAATATGAAAATTTTGTTTTAATTCATATTTTCATCATTCACTGACATAGTATGAAGGTTAAAGAGGTTTGAGACCTTAAGTGTTCATCTTTCTCCAGAAAATATAATTTATTTTATAGGGGGTTTGTCCACTAATTAAGTGGTATATGAAATTTAAATAAATTACTTGTTGTAAAACTTGAAATGATGTCCATGTGCACTGAAAATAATTTTAGCATAAATTAATACAAATTTAGAATGTGATTGGTTAATTTTCATCAACAATAAAGAGCATAAACTTCTTAATATATCATTTATCGAAAACTCGATTTTCTGTAGGGATTAACCCACATATTTTGAGAAAAATTAGAAAATATAAAAATTTTGTTTTAATGCATATTTTCATCATTCACTGACATAGTATAAAGGTTAAAGAGGTTTGAGACCTTAGGTGTTCATGTTTCTCCCAAAAATAGAATTTCTTTTATATGGGGTTTGTCCACTGATTAAGTGGTATATGAAATTTAAATAAATTACCTGTTAGAACATTTGAAATGATGTCCATGTACTAGGTTAATAAGCTTATCATACATTAATATAAGTTTTGAGTGTGGTTATGTAGATTTTAATAGCATGAAAGAGGCTAAACTTTAGTATATATAACATTTGTTGGAAAATTATTTTTTTTCATAGGGGTTAACCCACATATTTCAAGAAAAATTATAAAATATGAAAATTTTATTTTAATGCATATTTTCATCATTCACTGACATAGTATGAGGATTAAAGAGGTTTGAGACCTTAGGTGTTCATGTTTCTCCAGAAAATAGAATTATTTTTATAGGGAGTTTGTCCACTGATTAAGTGATATATGAAATTTAAATAACTACCTGTTGTAAAACTTGAAATGATATCCGTGTACCAAGAAATTTACTTTAACATACATTAATACAAAATTAGATTGTGATTGGTTAATTTTCATCAACAATAAAGAGCCTAAACGTTTTAATATAGCATTTAGCCAAAAACTAAATTTTCTGTGGGGGTTAATTCACATATTCGAGAAAAATTAGAAAATATGAAAATTTTGTTTTAATGCATATTTGCATCATTCACTGACATAGTATGAAGGTTAAAGAGGTTTGAGACCTTAGGTGTTCATGTTTTTCCAAACAATAGAATTTTGTTTATAGTGTGTTTGTCCACTTATTAAGTGGTAGGAATTTTAAATAAATTATATGTTGGAAAATTTATAAATGATGTCCATGTACTAGGTAAATAAGCTTATCATACATTAATATAAGTTTTGAGTGTGGTTAGGTATTTTTTTAATAGCACAAAAGAGGCTAACCTTTAGTATATATAGCATTTATTGAAAAACTTAATCTTTTCGTAGGGGTTAACCCACATATTTCAAGAAAAATTAGAAAATATAAAAATTTTGTTTTAATACATATTTGCATCATTCACTGACATAGTATGAAAGTTAAAGAGTTTTGAGACCTTAGGTGTTCATGTTTCTCCAAAAAAACTAGAATTTATTTTATTTGGGGTTTTTCACTGATTAAGTGGTATAAAATTTAAATAAATTCTCTGTTGGAAAATTTGAAATGATTTCCATGTACTAGGTTAATAAGGTTATCATACATTAATATAAGTTTCCAGTGTGGTTAGATATTTTTTAATAGTACGAAAGAGGCTAAACTTTAGTATATATAGCATTTATTGAAAAACTCAATCTTTTTGTAGGTGTTAACCCACATATTTCAAGAAAAAATAGAAAATATGAAATTTTTTTTTAATGCATATTTTCATCATTCACTGACATAGTATGAAGGTTAAAGAGGTTTGAGACCTTAGGTGTTCATCTTTCTCCAGAAAATAGAATTTATTATATAGGGGGTTTGTCCACTAATTAAGTGGTATATGAAATTTAAATAAACTACCTGTTGTAAAACTTGAAATGATGTCCATGTGCAATGAAAAATAATTTTAACATAAATTGATACACATTTATAATGTGATTGGTTAATTTTCATCAACAATAAAGAGCCTAAACTTCTTAATATACCATTTATTGAAAACTCGATTTTCTGTAGGGGTTAACCCACATATTTTGAGAAAAATTAGAAAATATAAAAATTTTGTTTTAATGCATATTTTCATCATTCACTGACATAGTATGAAGGTTAAAGAGGTTTGAGACCTTAGGTGTTCATGTTTCTCCAAAAAATAGAATTTCTTTTATAGGGGGTTTGTCCACTGATTAAATGGTATATGAAATTTAAATAAATTACCTGTTAGAAAATTTGAAATGATGTCCATGTAGTAGGTTAATAAGCTTATCATACATTAATATAAGTTTTGAGTGTGGTTATGTAGTTTTTAATAGCATGAAAGAGGCTAAACTTTAGTATATATAGGATTTATTGGAAAACTCATTTTTTCGTAGGGGTTAACCCACATATTTCAAGAAAAATTAGAAAATATGAAAATTTTATTTTAATGCATATTTGCATCATTCACTGACATAGTATGAGGATTAAAGAAGTTTGAGACCTTAGGTGTTCATGTTTCTCCAGAAAATAGAATTATTTTTATAGGGAGTTTGTCAACTGATTAAGTGGTATATGAAATTTAAATAACTACATGTTATAAAACTTGAAATGATATCCGTGTACCAAGAAAATTACTTTAACATACATTAATACAAAATTAGATTCTTATTGGTTAATTTTCATCAACAATAAAGAGCCTAAACTTTTTAATATAGCATTTATCCAAAATCTAAATTTTATGTGGGGGTTAAGTCACATATTTCGAGAAAAAGTAGAAAATATGAAAAATTTTGTTTTAATGCATAGTTGCATCTTTCACTGACATAGTATGAAGGTTAAGAGGTTTGAGACCTTAGGTGTTCATGTTTATCCAAACAATAGATTTTTTTATAGTGTATTTGTCCACTTATTAAGTGGTAGGAAATTTAAATAAATTATATGTTGGAAATTATAAATGATGTCCATGTACTAGATAAATAAGCTTATGATACATTAATATAAGTTTTTAGTGGTTAGGTATTTTTTAATAGCACGAAAGAGGCTAAACTTTAATATATATAGCATTTATTGAAAAACTTAATCTTTTCGTAAGGGTTAACCCTTATATTTCAAGAAAAATTAGAAAATATGAAAATTTTGTTTTAATGCATATTTGCATCATTCACTGACATAGTATGAAGGTTAAAGAGGTTTGAGACCTTAGGTGTTCATGTTTCTCCAAAAAATAGAATTTATTTTATTGGGGGTTTTTTCACTGATTAAGTGGTATGAAATTTAAATAAATTCTATGTTGGAAAATTAGAAATGATTTCCATGTACTAGGTCTATAAGGTTATCATACATTAATATAAGTTTTGAATGTGGTTAGGTATTTTTTATAGCACGAAAGAGGTTAAACTTTAGTATATATAGTATTTATTGAAAAACTCAATCTTTTCGTAGGGATTAACCCACATATTCAAGAAAAAATAGAAAATATGAAAATTTTGTTTTAATGCATATTTTCATCATTCACTGACGTAGTATGAAGGTTAAAGATGTTTGAGACCTTAGGTGTTCATCTTTCTCCAGAAAATAGAATTTATTTTATAGGGGGTTTGTCTATTAATTAAGTGGTATATGAAATTTAAATAAACTACCTGTTGTAAAACTTGAAATGATGTCCATGTGCAATGAAAATAATTTTAACATAAATTAAAGCAAATTTAGAATGTGATTGGTTAATTTTCATCAACAATAAAGAGTCTAAACTTCTTAATATATTTATCGAAAACTCAATTTTCTGGAGGGATTAACCCACATATTTTGAGAAAAATTAGAGAATATGAAAATTTTGTTTTAATGCATATCTTCATCATTCACTGACATAGTATGAAGGTTAAAGAGGTTTGAGACCTTAGGTGTTCATGTTTCTCCAAAAAATAGAATTTCTTTTATAGGGGGTTTGTCCATTCAATTGGTATATGAAATTTAAATAAATTACCTGTTAGAAAATTTGAAATGATGTCCATGTACTAGGTTACTAAGCTTATCATACATTAATATAAGTTTTGAGTGTGGTTATGTAGTTTTTAATAGCATGAAAGAGGTTAAACTTTAGTATATATAGCATTTATTGGAAAACTCATTTTGTCGTAGGGGTTAACCCAAATATTTCAAGAAAAAATAGAAAATATAAAAATTTATTTTAATGCATATTTGCATCATTCACTGACATAGTATGAGAATTAAAGAGGTTTGAGATCTTAGGTGTTCATGTTTCTCCAGAAAATAGAATATCTTTTATAGGGAATTTGTCCACTGATTAAATAGTATATGAAATTTAAATAACTACCTGTTGTAAAACTTGAAATGATATTCGTGTACCAAGAAAATTATTTTAACATACATTAATACAAAATTAGATTGTGATTGGTTAATTTAAATAAATTCTATGTTGAAAAATTAGAAATGATTTCATGTACTAGGTTAATAAGATTATCATACATTAATATAAGTTTTGAGTGTGATTAGATATTTTTAGTAGCACGAAAGAGGTTTGTACATATTAATGTATTTAAATTACTACTTAAAAATATGGTATTTCATTTTAATTGTCAAATTTCTCTAGAAAATAGAGAAAATGGAGATTTGTACGTAGATTAATGGAACAAGTGTTTTCACCTTTCTCTACAACATCAGTTTTCTGCAAAGACAAAGATGACGTTGAATACTTGAATATATTCCAAAGCTGGACTGACATAAGGACTTAGCCCACTGAAATTAACACGAGCCGAGGACGAAGCCTTGGGCTGCTCTACCATTTTTTGTAATTTGGTTTACTATAGGTTTTGGCTAACGATTATTCAAATGCATTTCCTATTAATATATGAAAACAAGTCCAACAGTACAAACGCATCAACGCAGTTACAAACCTTTAATTTTTCTTTAAAAGGTAATTCACAAACCGTAGCCTGTCACATTTTGAGGCAATGGTTCTTCAAACATTAGTTCGAGAGATGCGGTTTCAAAACCTGTCGGGTTCAGATTGTGCGTATGCTGATCTAGTTACAGTAGCTGCTCTGAGGACAGAACTCGAAGCTGGACACTGGTAGAGACATCTGTGAAGTCCAATCTAACGGTTGGTTCAGGTCAAATTTCATATCCATTGACTGGTTCTGGAACAATGGCTCTGATTGGAACTCATAGACCATATCATGGACCATACTTTGCAACTCCTCCAAGGTGTATTGCTTTTTCTACACGCAACCATAACCACACCGTTTACGTGTGTGCAAAGAAAGAAGGATAGAAATATAATAGGAGTGAAGTTAGGTAACAAGAATATTTACCTCTCTTCTCGTCTGTGCCATAAGTGAAACCATCTCTTCAGCAAAATCGAAGAATCCCTAAATCAAAAACAAATAAGCGTATACTGATTAACCTAAAGCATGTAACCATCTAAAACCGCAAATAAAGTATCTATCTATGTATACCTCATCTTCTTGAGTATCGTAGAGCCCCACATCGTACAAACTTCGTTTCCTTTTATCAGACAACACTAAACGAGAAAATAACGTCAGCCTCAGACAACAACAGAGAAACCTCAAAACATGTATATTAAAAAAAAAAAAAAATCAAAACATGGTCTGAACAGTGCCGTACCCGAATAAGCTTCTTGAATCTGCTGAAACCTTCGTTTTGCATCTCCAGACCTAAGTGGATCTTTCGTCCACCGATCAGGATGCCATTTCTTCACAGAAACAGTATTAATCAAAAAAAAACATGTCAAGATCTCTGTTTTTCATTTTACAAAACTATCCTAAAAAGAATCAATGATGACCCACCATAGCCAGTTTGTGATACGCTCGTCGTATCTGCTCCGCTGAGGAGTTAACGGAGACACCGAGAACATCGTAATACGACGGTGATGTTGTCTTAATGCCACCGTCCATTGGTTACAACTTATATATTATATAATATATAATCTTCACGACATTACAGGGCACAATAGATGTAATGAAGCTTTAGGGGTTTATATAAAAGAAGGAAGGTGACTTCAATGGCGGTTATGTGATACAAGAATCATACAAAAAGAATTTCTAGAAGTTTACGGGTGTCCAAAAATATCTCGTCACAAGAACGTTCCGGAACATGGTAACGAGGATATTATCTACACATTGGGTTTAGATATTTTTAAAATTTGACGGCTGCGATTGAATGGACGGTCGCATCATATCTTAAAATGACACGTTAATATGAATGCTTAAATGGGAAATTGTTAAGATTTTTATGAGTTTTACTTTACTTGTCCGAATCAGACAAGTCATGTTTCGCCGCACACAAAACACGGTGAACAGCACATATATTTTCTTTCTTTCGTCTTCTTTGAACTCTATATTTTAGCATATTTGCACCCTAGAGATTTTTTGTTTTGGCTCATTGTAACTTTTGCCATTTACACTAACAAGGTAACTTTTGCCATGTGTGCTAAACTGTAGAGTTTTGTTTTAAACAGTCGAACTGTATATTTCTTAGCTTCATTCAAGTTATTATTCAACACTTTTTCAGTCTTAGTATGTACCAATTATTAATAGACAAGTGTACAATGATTGTAGTTGGGGACAATAGGGGTACAAACAGAGTCAAAGAAGAGCATTTGAAAAGAGGTATAGCGTTTGCGAAACAAAAAAGAAGGAAAAATATATTATACTAGTCAATATTAGTAATAGATATATATCTCACACGCAAAAGGTTAATATTAAACGATTATCACATCACATATATTTAATCCAAGAATATGAATATAAACAATGTGAGACATCTAATAATACTTCTCAAGATGTAAGTGGGAAAAGTTTCCTAAAAACCGTCCATGTCCAACATTTCGAAAATATAACACTAAGACTAATCATTTTACATGCTACATAAATAGTTTATGTGAGAAATCATCTTTTCAATTTTTACCATAGATTCTGATATCATATCATATTAGTAATGAATATAACTCACATCTAAAAATTAGTTAAAGAATAAAAGATTACCACGTCACATATATATTACTCAAGAAACTTCATCTACACGATATGAAACATATTAATAATCTCTCTCAAGATGTGGATGGGAAACGGTCCAGTGGAAATAATTCAAACCCAACATATACACAGCAATATAAACCATTTTTACACATTAAAAAGTAAAAAACTGTTTAGGTAGAAAATTATATTCTTAGCTAAACCATAGATTCTAATATCATATTAATAACGACCTTAATTTACACTCAGAATCTTGTTGAAAAGTGGAAAATTCCCACAATAGATATATATTGTGAAGAATCATCAACATAAACGATTTGAGACACCTAATAATAAAGTTAAATGGTAGATAAAAGTTATAGAAAAATAACAATAACATAATATATTTTATATGTAAATATATCAAAGAAAAGTTGATAAAATATAATATGATGAACCAAAGACAAGTTGATAACACTATAATATAATTATATGGTTTTGTTGCTTTCTAAAAGTAGTTTTAGAGCAAATTTAGTGGGAGGTTCTCAAAAAAAGTTTTTCATTAAGATTGTTCTTAATTGTAATAAATTTTGTAAACTGAAAGTCTTGTGTTTAACAGAATAAATTCAAACAAGAAGAAAATAAAAGAGGAGGTATATTTTGGGGATTTTCTCAAAAAAAAGTATATTTTTGGGAACTAAAGTAAAAATTTATCGAATAATGATATAATTTAGTAATGAACGAAAAAAATAAGATAAAATTAAAATGTTTGGAAGAAGGAAAAGAAAAACTGAAAAAGAGGATTATGGTGGACACTAGTACTTGAACATTGTGGATATATGAAATAATTTACCTAATTTAACCAATTAATTCAAAAATCTTATCAAATAGTTAAATGATTATATAGGTTTACTCAAGCTAATTGGCCTTGTTTGAAAGCTAATTATCATTATAGTTCTGACCAGAAGAGCATAGATCATAGTTTAGTTATATTATTGTTAAAAATAAAAAGCTAATTATAGTGGAAGCTGGTAAATTTTGGATTTGTCGTGAGATTTTAACTTAAAACCAATTGAATGTTAATAGAAATTATGTTATTATCTTGAAAATATATATATATATTTTTTTAATTTATGTAAAAAAAAAACTAAATTGAAACGGATTGAATATATAGATCTGATTCTTGTTGAAGCCGCAAAATACAATGCCCGTTGCTAGTCGTTGCAACCTTTTGTATACTATACAATACTTTTCATTTATTTTTCACCGAAACTAAAATCAACCACGGTAGGGTCTTTTCTTCTTTCGAACTTTACAATACCCATATTCATGTATTAAATAGTTGAATAAGATACTTCACTATATTTATTTCTGGAATAAGATAGTTCACTGCATCTTGTTCGAGAATTAAATGTCTACATGACAAGTTAAAACAAATTAAGGCTTCATTCATTTTTGACCTTTGCAAAACTTATTCAGGTAAATTAGTTTTGTAGTTCAGTGATTCATCAGTTAATCACTGACCACGCCATTCACGAATTCAGTGTTCAATCGAAATTCTTCTACGTGTGGCAATTTTGAATAATCATTACCCTCTAAACCTTCTTTAATTATTCGGTGATGATTTTTTCGTTTTATAAATTTCAAAGAGTGTATTATAGGGGCGAGACGCATGTAAATTTTGAAACATGGGAAACTTGGTTTTAGCCTTCTTGCCTTCTTGAGTACATATTTGTATATATATATATATACCTTCAAATGTTCCATCTGGGAATTGTTTATTTTTGCTAATTAACAATAATACTAGGTGACTCATCAGCATCCATGTACGTACCAGAATGATATGTTTAATAAAACAAAATATAAAAATTTATGTAATAGTTTATTAGTTTTAATTTTATTTGTTTGTGATTTTTTGTGTTATTTTAATTAAATTTTTACTATCAGTTCTTTAGTTGCAGTATTATAAATTTTTTTTTCAATATATTCAATTTGGTTATGATATTTATAAAAGGAGAGGGAAGTTCAATTTTACCATGAACTTGATATCACTTTCAAATTTACCCTTAAAAAGATAACAATTTTCATAACACCTTAAGTTTGTGATAAATAATTAAGCCTCCTAAATCATTATAAATGTTTAAATCATCATTTATAAAATTTCATAAACCCAATTCTACCCCCTAAATACTAAACTCTAAACAATAAACATTAATGTCTAAATCCAAATGTTAGGATATTTTGATTCAATGTATTTTTTTAAAAAATAATAGTCAACTTGTAGTATTTTAAACAATTTATCTTCTAAAATCACCATTGTAAGAACTGATCTTAAATGTGCTAATTAATTTCAGTTCACCTTCTACCAACTTATCAAACTTCTTACAAAAATCATTACCTTCAATTGTTGCATGAATATGACATTCCTATGAAATAATTAGAATATAAGTTAGAACTTATATATAAATCATAGGATCATTATAAGTTGAAAAATATGAGTTTTAACTATAATCTCAACATCAGTCAAAATCATCTCAATAGAAACAATATTTTTGAGATATTTTCTCACCACCTCATTTTGTTTACTTTGATCTTGCATATCTCCAAAGATAATGATCCTCATGGAAACTATGGAAGTTGTTTTCTTACAAAAAAAAAGATTGAACTTTTTATGAATAAGGAATTTTTAATATGAATAATGGATGCTATAGACTGATAGTTTAAATTTGTATTGATAGTTTGATGGTTTAGATTTAAGAAAATCGGTTGTTTACTTATATAGATTTTGGAGGCATTCTAATAGTATAAGGATTGAGAATTTACCATGGAATAAAAATATACATAAAATTGTGAGGATAGTCTTTCGAGAAATAAAAAAAATCAGATAACTATCAAAAAAGTATAATCACATATTTTTCCTTCTTATTAAGTATGAGATTTTGATTTTTAATATTCTAAGAAAATTAATCTAACTTATGTGAATTTTGTAAATATAAAGCAAAAGTTCATAAAACTGGATTTTATATGAAAGGATTTTTTTTTGTATAAAACGTTTATGATAACAATATGGTTACAAAAATAATTATTAAATAATATATATAAAATATTTATAGATATTTTCTTTATAAGAAATTCCTTTTTGATAAGAATGTGGTTATAAAAGAAATGTATAAATAAAAATGAAATAAACAAATATTAATAAAGACACTTATAATAATAAATTTAATTTATTAAGGATACATATCAATGTAATAAATTATCATGAGAATTAACGTAAAGACAAAACGTAAGAAAATAAATTTTTAAATAATATTATAGAGATTTTATGTTCAATCTTTATTCAAGTTATTAGATAGATCTTCTATGATCCAAATAATGAAAAGAAAAAACTACTTCTTCATCGCATTCTACTAGTGGGTATTATCATAAAGAGATAAAGCAGTAGTATTTCCAAAATAATTAATACATATATTGGAAAATTAACAGAACTCACTTAACCATCCGTTTCACTTTAGTTATAATTTTTGGTTTTTGCACATAGATTAAAAAAACATTTAATTTTACATATATTCAAAATAAAACAGTTACCTATATACCTAATCACTTTTCAAATAGAAAAAATAGAATATCATATATAGTTAATAATTTTTGCTTTGAAACTCTAAAACTAAAACGACACTTACTTTGAAACGAATTTTTTTCTCTGTGACACATTTATTTGGTATTAATTCTTTTGAAGAATTTAAGGTAGACCAACGGCTTGTTTTTTCACAGAGTATACATCTTCACGTATGATTTATTCTGAGAAACTTTCGGAGAAGCGCCACAAACAATTTTAATAGTTAAGTTATTGTGAATCTGCTCATGATAAAAACTAAATATATATTTCGTTTTCTTAAAGAAAATTAGATATAGTTTGCACAATTAATTTTCCAATTTAC